ATAAGTTGGCATCTAGGAAAGAAGGATAGAATTACGAGCTTGGCTAAATAAGCACTTTAATTGAACTTGGGATAAAAATGCAACTTCTTTTGTAACTTTAACTTTTTCAGAAAATCAACTGCAAAGTCGAAATGTTAGTATTCCTAACTTCAGAAAAAGAATAAATAATATGCAGATCAATTGTGGAGAAGAAATAACCTTGTTTATAAGTCTTAATCTTCCAAGCCTCGGGCCGTCCCTGATTCCATGAATGTCAACCCCAATCTCATAATGCTGCTCATTAACGAACTCCCCTGATTTCATGCACGCTTTAATCCCTGCAAAAACATATCAACTAACATGAAGAGAAAGAGGGGAAAAAATGCCTCGAAGCATAGATAAACAAAACATTAGTTCATTCAAAACAACCCTCTTGAGAAACTTCTATTAGTAATACTTTTGAGTTAATAGCATTCTTGTTCGAGGATAAAAATAGAACTCACATTCAACACTCAGAATCCATTTCCCTTCCAAGATGCCCATTAAAAATTTAAGGGTTCGTCTGCAAGACCCATTCTCATCCGTAGATGCAATGACATGTGTAACACTTAAATCCCAGCTCTTCAATATTGTAACTCTAGACAACTTCACAAATTCAGAGACAATTTCCTGCATTTGCACCATCAAAACTCTAAGACCATGGAACAGGGAGAGTTCTGATTGTTCCCATTGAAACTATATTTGGTTTTTTTGTTTACCTTCTCCACATCAGTGAGAGCTGAACAGCAGAGAACCAAGTTTTTAGTTTTTCTATGACAATTCCACTGCAACGTTGTGCTACTTTCACATTTTTTAGTGACCTGCGGTTGGTGAATCTGAGACTGCCTGTAATAAGGAGTTATCAGATATGGGGCAATATACAGACTTAAAGGTGGGGAGGTGGGGAGCCCAGCAGAACTTGAAGTCCTGGAACGGTGTGTTGGAAAATTAACAAACCTTTCAGCCACAGATTTTCTGTTCCGCTTGGAATGAGATCCCAACATTTCGTTTGGCAATTGACAGGACGTATGAAGAGGACAAAGCATGACAAAATTTTGCTGCAATAGGGGTAATATAAGCAATCTATACATACATTTTATAGATTTCTAAAATTGAACTTAGTTATCTAACACATACATAATCCCATCGGCATTCTAGAGTCAACTTAGCACAAGGAACATGAAAGCTCTTGCGGCAACTCTTCTCATAACACCCAAGAGCTGCCCCTTTAATTCCACAACAACAGCATTTAATCCGTCGACTTCTTGTCAATTCAGCTTCAAGGTTTATCACCTTATCATCTTCAAAAAACACGTTAGGGGCCCTGCAAATGTGATTAGCACTTATAAAACATTAATAGCCAGAAATATGAATATTAAAATTGGAAGGAGCGTAAAAAAATCCAGCCATAGCTGATTTACATGAAACATCAAGATCCTGTGAAATTTTCTTTGTTTCCAAATCTTGCTTAAGCCAGAAGAAGGCAGTTCAAAGTTAGAAATGGTAATTAGACATTCTTTAATCTTCATACAACAAAATAATATAATCTGATGACCGAAACAACCGAGCACATGAAAAATTCTTCTGGAGACTTCCATACCATTCAGTACAATTCTGGTGCACATGTATGATATCTGAACTTCCATCCTGATTTTCTGTAACGAGCTTGCCTTTTAGGTAGTGAAACATGACCCCACAATCCTAAAGTTTTGGTTTTCAGATTAAAAGAAGCATAGCCATATGTTACAAAATTAATAACTGATCTTCAATAAGGAAATGTTACCTCAGATTCTTCAGCAGAATGACAGAAAGCGCACTCGATTATGTTAGGAAATGACCCACATTTTCGTAAAACACCACTCAAAGTGGAAACAGCCTTCTCCACTTCTGATGGATTGTCAGAAAGAGAACATTCACTGTTTGCTCCAAAATTTCCAAATGTTGGTCTTTCCATCATAGCCTTTTTCTGAAGATTTTGAGGATTGTCTTCACAATTTTCCTCGGATGCATCTTCGGAAAATTTCACCTTCTTCAGATGTCTTAAAAGTTTGTTACAGTTTTCTTCACATCTTCCGTTTGCCTTGCCTGAAGAAGAAGCTTTTTTGCCATTGCCTAACATGGAAGATTGATAGCTTGAATTGAAAATCGGAATCTCATTGCATTGGCTTTTACTTATGTCACCCTTACCAGTTTTCAACTTTCCAGCTTTTAATTTATCACTGGCTGTTTGTGGGAGAGCAATTGTCTTCTCACTGCTTTTACAGCTTTTGCAACATTTCTTTAGGTGATGACTTCCTGCCCTGTATTCTTGCTGATTTAGTGAAGCTGAAAAGTCAGCCAATGCTGTTCCATTACCCACGGTCAAAGGCTCCACCCCATCAGATAAAGTGGCAATGCATTCAGGGGTTCTCTCATGAATATTAGCCTCAGAGCAATCATTTCGGTTGATTATAGAGTTTATCACCTTCAAATTTGAAGTTGTTTTCTTCTGGCCAGACTTCTTTTGCATACTTTCCTCAGTTACATTCTGTAATTCATTGGGATCTCCAGTTACTCTAGACAAAGCTCTCACGGATTTCTTACTTTTACTACTTCCAGTCATATTACTAACTCGTTTGCTAGGCTTCTGCATTCCACGTTTACTGTTTAAGATTTTTCTCAAAGGAGAAGATGAAGGCGAAAAGCTAAAATTTACTTTGCCAGAACCCTTTTCATTAGCTTTTTTTCCTCTCTTCTCAGGTCTAAGCTGTAAACAGGCAGTTTCATATGCTGAGGCAGCTGCAGCCTCATCTCCAAATTGCTCTTCAGTATCTTCAACCTGCATTGGCATAATAAGAAGATTGCTAGAATGAAAAGAAAAAAGAACCTTGGAATGATAAGATTATAAAAAGCATCATTTGATGATTTAATTTTCCTTAATGAATTACCTGTATTTCTATAGGGCTTGAACAAAGTTCAGGAGAGCAAGGTCTTTGAGTCCATTCAAACATCTCACTGTCAATGAAGTCTGTGCTTTTCAATAAAACACTAGTTTTCCCCTGTATGAGTAGGAGAGCATGTTACAATAACTTTAAGCATCCCAAAACCTTCTATGTGAACCAGAAAAATATAAATTGATTGGAATGCAATGATTCTGTAACATTAAATTTATGCAGAAACAATTATGGAATCAATTATCTCCCATGCCCAAAGATGCAATGCAGGAAAGGATGAGAACCAAAAAGACACAATGTAGGGGGAAAAGAAAAGGAAGAAGAAGAAGAAAACACTGAACCTTAGTGATCCAGCAAGCAAATCACAGATGAAAGTAGACAGAGGACTATCAATGTGTTCCATTTTAATGATCTGATTCCACCGAAACTGGAACCATATCACAGAAAATGAAATTTGAAACTTACTTTTGGACTTGTTTTACTATGGACTTCATCATCTGAATCCTTTATATCACTGAAACAAGGAACATCAGGCGGTGTATAAATGACTTGGTCCCCATCTGAATGCTGACTTGATTTCTCTGCTTGGTCCTCCTCTCTCAGCCAGAAGAATGGAGTGAAAACAGGATTCCCCATTTCATTTACAACAGGCTTTTCTTTCTGTATAACATGAGGTTTCTGAGGTTCATTCATGGAAATTTCATTAGTCCTACCTTGCATCTTTTCATGCTGCGTTGGGCTTTCTAAAGATAGATGCTCTGGTAGCTGAACCCTTTTCTTAGTAGGAAAGGAAGGTTTCATAAAGTCTGAACCACAATCTTTCTGGTTACTCTCCAATGGTCTTTTCAATCCTTTTCTTTGACGTTTTTTCTGATTTTCAGTGTCTCGAGTCTCGATGGGAGCTTTTTCATTATCTTGGATCTCACAAATTTTATGAGGATCTAGTTGGCTCTCTTCATCTGTAAGTACAGAAAACAATGGCCATGCAACCTAATCAATAGGTTAACCAATGAAATGTATCACACCATTTTCTGGAAATCAAGACGCTTATGCTTTTGCTGATATTTCATCTGACCCGGGATCTAGGGCATTGAAACTTTATTCTTAATGGAAGTAATTAATGACAAGAGGTTGTGTATGTGAAAATCGACTGTCCGTGGAATTGGAAGAGGAGTAGCCATTACCATTCCCCTTTCTAATCCATGGATGTGAATAGTTGGGCATGGTTATGTCATACCCTCAGTGAAAACTTTTTTGGGAAAAGAAATTTCTTCATTTTACAGTTCGTCCCTTAGGAAAAGTCCCGGTTTCATCCATGATTAAACTACTGAGCAAATGCCTACATGCAGTGATTTTATCATCAGGCATGGTCTTTAATGTCACACCACATTACCCTTTTTCTTCTCTGACCTGACAGATATTTACAGGCAACAAGAATCCATGGGACTTATACTCAGTTGAATAAGAAAATGGCTGAGCTACTTCCATTACCGCAAATAAGTCTTTAACTCGTAAATTTGAAGTCGCTGTGAACCTTCTGTTTGTTGACAGTCACACTAACTTATTACCTGATAATTTGGATAAAGTTGCAGTTTGAGCGACACATATATTGACTCCAGAGGCAACTTCCATGCTCTTGTAAATGCTGACTAAGTTATCCATATGAGGAGCAGATCGAATCTCTGAGAGACATAAAAAGACGGCGTAATGCATATGTAAATAAATGAAACAGCACAAAGTCAATGAAGTCCATATGAGCTATGCTTACAGCAAACAAGTCAAGTCAGACATTTCAGACAATTAGAAGAGATTAAACATGTAAGAAAGCAATCACGAATCTTAGAGAAAGTGACATCTTGAGTTAAAATTTAATTTTATAACTAGCTTCCTCTTAAATATTAATGCTGGATTATATGGTAATTGGTATTAAATCTTCTAATTTCTAATATGATTTTAAAATTTTGCACAACTTCCATTTGATAAGCAATTTGAGCTTGGAAATCCCTCTGACTCTAATATGTTAGTATTACTGTGAATGTAAATTTAACCAAAATCTCAAAAAATATTTGTCATTAATTTTCTCTGTTTTACATTATTGCAATATGATTGGCTTCTAGTTCATTTAATTAAATCTTTTGTTTTTCAATTTCTGCAACACTAATGTGCTGATTTCTATCTCATTTGTCTCAGACAAGATTAGGCTGCACTTAGCAGCATGGAATATGGGGCTTGAAACTGGAATTCAAGGGAAATAATATGGACAGAATCATTTTCCAATTCTTAGGTCCGCATTAATTTTACAAGATAAAATCATTTCCTGATGCCAGAATTCCAATCCTACTATGAGTTTCCCGAGCATAACAAATGTAAAAGATAAAACTCAGAAGTAAAATATAAAACCTCTGCGTCGATATGGAAGTTTGCACACTGGACAATCGGATGCTGATCTCATAGATTTCTCCAGACATGAACTGCGTCATTAAACGAATGCATCAAATCGAATGTGTATAAAAGACATGCTTAAATAGAAGAAGGTACAGTATAGAGCTTACTTGCAAAATACATGATTGCAGGTAAGTGAAACAGAGGAATTCAGAAGACTCAAGCTGTCAAAATAGAAAAAACGGTTGAATCAATTATAACCAATTTAGTTTGCAAATAATTTATAATTATTCGATCTCAATATTGACTTGCGATAATTAGACTTAAAAAACAAGAAACATTCAAAATATTTAGAAATATAGTAAACTAATCTCAAATGCTCGCTAAATTAAAATTATTAGACCCGTAAATTGTTTTTCAAAAATTTAACATTAACAAACACTAATTCGGTTAAAACAAGAAACCCATTATAAAATTATAGAAATAAAAACAGATTTACCAGATCGGGCATTTCAGCTCTCTTCCCAGTCTTTCTAGATGGGATATGTCAGCCATTTTTTTTTACTTTTTTTCTGAAACACGTTGGCCTCTGTTTTTTTGTGGGCAATGGAGAGAGACTGACGCAGTAAGGTGAATAGATGAAACTTGAAAGACACGATTGCAATGGCGCGTTTTTAGTGAGAGGAAAGATATTTTTTGAAATTTTACCGGGCTTTGAAAGTTTCCCAGCGGGAGGTCGTAGGGGGTACTTTTAAGATTGGCCATGTCAAAATGTCATTTTTCACTTTGACCAAAAAAATTGTCAATCTTCAAAATGATCTTTTGTTGATTAAAATATAAAAATATCCTCAAATAGTTTATACAATTACAAAGATAGAATTTTATTTAAAAAGATAAAAATACCCTTAAATTACAAATTAAAAAACCAAACACTTTTGACTTTATATTTAATTATTTATTTTAAACACTTACTCAAATAAAAAAATTAATATTTAATTTACAATCTTGTTTAAATAATCATTAATTAATTATCTTAATCGTTTATGTATATTATTTATTTTATATTTAATTATTTATTTAATCACTTGTTTAAATAAAAAATTAATGATTAATTTGATTTCTCATTTAAATATTTCATTAACTAATTATCTTAATTGATATATGTATATTTAATTAATTATTTATTTATTTATTTTAAACACTTACTCAAACAAAAAAATTTATTTTACTTTGGTTTCTCTTTTAAATATTTCATTAATTAATTATCTTAGTTGTTCCATATTTAATTATTTATTTTAAACACTTACTCAAACAACAAAATTTATTTTGATTTGGTTTCTCTTTTAAATATTTCATTAATTAATTATCTTAGTTGTTCCATATTTAATTATTTATTTTAAACACTTACTCAAATAAAAAAATTAATATTTAATTTGGTTTCTCGTTTAAATATTTCTTTATTAATTACTTTAATTGGTTATGTATATTGTTCATTTAATATTTAATTACTTTATTTAATTATTTATTTAATTACTTATTTAAATAAAAAATTAATATTTATTTTAATTTCTTATTTAAATATTTCATTAATTAATTATCTTAATTAATTATGTATATTCTTTATTTAATATTTAATTACTTTGTTTATTTATTTATTTAATCGTTTAATTAAGTAAAAAATAAAATTTTAATTTAATTTCTTATTTAGATATTTCAGTAATTAATTATCTTAATTGGTTATATATATTATTAGTAGTAATTAATATTTAATTACTTTATTTTAATTACTTATTTAAATAAAAATATTATATCATAATGTACAAGTGGCATAATATTATTGGAGAGTTGAAAAACAGTTTTTTCGATCCTCCATTCATGGAATTCCATATGTACATTAGGGGCATCCTTATGAATTAGTACATGTAAAATTATCTAATATTTAATTTGGTTTCTCGTTTAAATAATTTTTTATTAATTACCTTAATTAGTTATGTATATTTAGTTACTTTATTTAATTAATTATTTTAAACACTTACTCAAATAAAAAATTAATATTTAATTTAATTTCTTCTTTAAATATTTCATTAATTAATTATCTTAATTTGTTATATATATTGTTTATTTAATATTTATTACTTTATTTAATTATTTATTTAATCACTTATTCGAATAGAAAATTAATATTTAGGGGGTGTTTGATAGACATTTTTATGTAAAAATATATTTTAGAATAGTAAATTGATGTGAAATGTGTCGTTGAGAAATAAAGAAAAGTTTTTTATTTACGTGTAATATTATTTTAATAAAGAATGTGTGGTTGAAAAGAAAAGAGAGAAAAATACGTTTTGAAAAAAATAGCTACCAAACGGGGGATTAATTTAATTTATTCTTTAAATATCTCATTAATTAATTATCTTAATTGGTTATTTATATTATTCATTTAATATTTAATTAGAACATAAATCACACGGTGTATGAAAATATTTAAAGAGATGAGAGTCGAACTTTAGTCACGGTCACATTTTCAATACATTGAACATTATTCAAGAATGTCGAAACTATATTTCCTCTATCAAATGAAGTCGGGTAAGAAGTTCCCAATTATATTGTGTTATCCTCTACTCAACGGATGTGTAATATCTATTTACATCGTATGTACTCTCTATTTATAATGTGTTATTGATTATATGAAAATTGACCCGACGAATATGTAATATATATATTTAAATTGTATGTACTCTCTATTTATAGTATGTTACTGATTTCCTCAATTTTATTTATTTATAGTGTGTCATATATGTAATTAAGAGTAATTAGTTATTTATTATACAGTTATATAAAAACTAAAGTATTACAAACGTGTAAAAAATGCTTACATTTGAAATTATTATAACTACGGATCACAATGTGCATAAAAGAACGCTTACATTTTAATGTGTGTTTGGTTTATCAACTCTACGCCATGTCCGATGCTAAAAATTCAATGTATTTCAATTAGGGCGGTCAATGGGTTGGATTTTGATCCGAATCTGGTGAAATTAATGGGAAATGAATTTAGGGTCTCAATCCAATAACCCAATTGAGATTCGAATCCGGTAATCCGTTAACTAAATAAATCAAATTTAGATATAGGTCAATCCGATCCGATATCACTAAAACATTCAAAAAGGAGTCTCCTTTAAAAATGAGTTAAATGAGCATCACTTAAATTTAAAAAAAAAAAATTGATTATGTCCTTCTAATATAATAAGTGAGCCCATCAAGATAATTCAAATATTTTTAAAATAAATAATTAATTAAATCTTGTTGAGGCTATGATTTTCAATAAAAAAATAAATAAAATCTTTATTTTTCTAATTTTTTCAATTTCGGATCAGATTATCTCCACGGATATGACTCTAACCCTCCTCTTCGATCAACAGTAGCAGCTCAACGACCACTTCAAGCTGACATAGTAACATTTCACCGAGTTAATGGCCATGCATTGAGATTTCGAACTGACGTGCAGCATAAATCACAAATGAATAATATGTACATCAAGATCGTCGAAGAGAGCTGATAACTGTTAGCTTTGTTCCCATGGATAGTTGTTGAATGTGTCAATTTTATCAACAACCTCCAAATGAAAGATGTCGATCGACATCGTCTTTTGATGACACCTTAGTATGCTCTCTAGTATAAACAACATCCCCAACTTCAACTAGTCAGACATATCGTATCATTTCTTGAATGCGTCTCCTAACTGTACTAGAGTTACCGTCATAAGTAGGATCGACGTAACAGGTCTGCGTGCTCCTCGTCCAACAAATCTAGGACTAATACGAAGTTGGCAAAGTTATAATTCGACGTAACTTTGTCAGAAATCTGTCTCATGGCGGCGTCCAAATGATAATCCATCTTGTAAAATTTAAAATGTTTAGACCTTGTGTAAGAGGCAATGGATGAAGCATAATATTTGAAAATTAAATTGTTTATTGAATATTTAATTGTTGATTATTTATTTGAATTATTTATTTACTTATTTAAATTGTTTATTGAATATTTAATTGTTAATTATTTATTCAATGTTTAAATGTGTATTTAAATTTTATTTAAATTATTTATTTTAATTGTTTAGTTGTTTATTTAATATTTATTTTAATTGTTAATTGAATGTCTAATTGTTTCTTTTAAATGTTAATTATTTATTTCAATTGTTTATTTAATATATAATTACTTATTTTTATTATTTATATTTATGGTTCATTTAAATTATTTATTTAATACTTAAATGTTAATTATTTATTTAAATTTTTTATTTAATATTTAATTACTTTTAAATTACTTCCTTTTTATTTTTTATATGTATTGTTCATTTAAATTATTTATTTAATATTTAAATGCTAATTATTTATTTCAATTTTTTGTTTGAATTTTTATTTAATATTTAATTACTTATTTTTTATATTTATGGTTCATTTAAATTATTTATTTAATACTTAAATGTTAATTATTTATTTCAATTGTTTGTTTGAGTTGTTTATTTAATATTTATTTACTTATTTAAGCTATTTTTTATTATTTATATTTATTTGTTATTTATGTTAATTAATTATTTTATTTCTTAATTAATATTTAAGTTACTTGTTTGTTGAATTTATTTCAATTAATTTATTATTTCAATTAGTTATTTATTATTTATTTAAATAAACAATATACATAAATAATTAACATAATTCATGAAATATTTAAATAAACAAATAAAGTATAAAACAAATAATTATATATTAAACAAATAATATACATAAACAATCAAAGTAATTACTTAAATATTTAAATAAAAATTTAAATTAAATATTGATTTATTAGATTATTTATTAAATGTTTAATTTAATTTTTTATTTAAATATCTCGTTAATTTTTTAATTGATTATATATATTGTTTGTTTAATATTTAATTACTTATTTTTATTATTTATATTTATGGTTCATTTAAATTATTTATTTAATACTTAAATGATAATTATTTATTTAAAATTTTTATTTAATATTTAATTACTTTTAAATTACTTATTTTTTATTTTTTATATGTATTGTTCATTTAAATTATTTATTTAATATTTAAATGCTAATTATTTATTTCAATTTTTTGTTTGAATTTTTATTTAATATTTATTTATTTATTTTTATTATTTATATTTATGGTTCATTTAAATTATTTATTTAATACTTAAATGTTAATTATTTATTTCAATTGTTTGTTTGAATTGTTTATTTAATATTTATTTACTTATTTAAGCTATTTTTTATTATTTATATTTATTTGTTATTTATGTTAATTAATTATTTTTATTTCTTAATTAATATTTAAGTTACTTGTTTATTGAATTTATTTCAATTAGTTTATTATTTCAATTAGTTATTTATTATTTATTTTGCAAAGGTAGCTGCGAGAGATGAAGGAAAACGGAATACGATGCCCCAAAGAAAATATTATTGCACCCTTTACAAAATGTCTAGACATTCAATTGAGAGATGTTTCATAATTAATTATTTTTTATTTCATTTTATTTAAAATATAAATAATATAATAAATATAATAAACAATTGAATATTCAATAAACAATTTACATAATTCACGAAATATACATAAACAATTAAATTCAAT